GGCTGAGGCTCTGGGCAGGGCCTGAGGTGCTCAGTTCCAGACAGGAGCGCAGCTGGGGGCCCGAGGGTGGAACAGGATGGCCAGGGCCCCGGTGAAACCCTGCAGCCCTCTGAGGGAGCCCCGGTGCGTGGAGCGAGAAACCCGGCGGGGAGGCGCAGCAGGCAGGGTGCCACACAGAGGTGGGGGCTCCGCGTCCTCGGGGATGAGGCTATAAACACAGCCTCAGATGGGGCCGGTGCTCATCAGCATGCCGCCCCGCCTGGACTACTGCGTCCTTCCTTGCGCCTGCTCCTGCCCCGCCGTCTCTGCCTCCCTTTGGCTTTGTGGCTGTCTCCAGCTCCTGCCCTCTCTTTCCTGGCTCCATAGCTTCTGTTCCAAGGATGACTTTGCCCCCCTAGTCCCAAAAAAAGGCACCAGGCAAGTGACAGGGTTGCTGGCTTGTTGACCAAACAACAGGTCAGCCTCGAGCATGGGAACCTGGGAGCTGTTAGCTGGCAGCCCGCAGGGGACAGGACAGGCATCAGGGATGGGAGTCCCGTGGTTGGCCCTGGGCCCACCAGGTGCACCCGAGTCCAACTGGGGCTTCTGTGGACGCGGAGCTGGTGTCTGTTTGCCGGGGCAGCCAGGGAGATCTCTGGAAAATGCCAAAACTGAGATCCAGAAATCCTGTGGGCCTGTGCAGCTGCCAGAAGGGGCCGGGGTGGAGGCGGATGCCCTAACTGACCCGCACCACAGGCTGGGCTGTTGGAGCCCTGGTCCGGGTGCAGGGTGCGTGGCCCTCACTTGCTAACTCTGGCTGGCTGTCTTGGGGTGGGGCCTGCGGAGGGGTGACAGAGGGGTGACGCTGTCCAGAACCCAGCTAAGCCCACCTGATGCCAGGCCCGGAGCGGTGGGGGTGCATGCTGATTTGTTCACCTGTTGCTGTTACCCACACACGGGTAGGCAGAGGCCTGTGGACTCCAGGACACCGACACTTCTGAGTGCAGGCAGCAGGGCCCCAGCGATTCCCAGGGCCAGGTATGGGCCAAGGTTTTTTTCTTTTTGAGACAGGGTCTCACTGTGTAGCCCAGGCTGGCCTCCAACTCACAGTGATCCTCCTGCCTCAGCCTCCCGAGTGCCGCGGTCACAGGCGTGCGTCACCACCCCTGGCTTCCCAGTCCTTCTGTGGGAGCTGTTGGGTGCTGAGTGCAAGCTGAGGCCTGCTGAGGGGGCCTTCTGCTCCCCCAGGCATGCTCGTGCTTGACACGCACCCTCACACGCACTGTTTGAATCTGCAGGGCCCGAGGCGGGCACAGCAGGAGGCTACTGGGTGGGACTCCGTGTGGCCACCGCACCTCCCAGGAAGGCCGGCTCCACAGAGGCCTGCCATGGCCGCATCTGAGCGCTGACAGGGCTTCCCAGGCAGTGGCTGTGACCGCTCCCCTCACCCTGGGGTCTCCTGTCCATCGGTTTCCGATGTGACTGCCATGTGGCCCCGCACATGGGCCGTGCAGTTGTGCGGGCTGACAAGTGGGTTTCTCACATGTGGTGAGGAAGTGAGAGACCAAGTCACCCCCAGGCGCCTGCTGAGCGCCTTCCACCCACGGGAGTGGCGTTTATCACCAGAGGCTCAGAGCAGGGTGAGTCCTGCTGGGAACAGGGCTCCAAGCCCTGCAGGGCACCAGGGGCTTGCTGGGCTCGCTGACTCGGCCCCGAGTCTTAGCAATGCAGCGATCGTGGGAGCTGGGGGTGGGGGAGCCCGGGCCAGGGGCCAGAGATACATGGTGGATGCGCTCCGAGCTCGCGCAGCAGGGCCAGCAGGGCCCCAGCAACCGCGGGGAGGGGACCCGAGGGCTCAGGTCCAAGACATCCCGAAGTCCTGTGTATCCAGAGGGGGCATTCGGGGGCGACACCGACTCATCCTGCTAGGAGGTGGGGCCTGGGCGGAAAGGGGGTCACCAGGGGCGGGACTGGAAAGGCCCAGTGATCCCCCGAGGACTCGGGATTGAGCGCAGCGCCTCTGCACTGAGCTACCCCCCGGTCCTCTGTAATTTTTGAGTTAGGTCTCATGGAGTTGCCAAGTTGTCCAGTCTGGGCTTGAATTTGTGACCTCCTGCCTCAGCCTCCCAGGCAGCGGGTGACAGGGACGTGCCGGCACACTGGCTTGGGAGGGCGTACTGTCATCACCAGCTCCTTCTCTGCTTCCCTGATTACAAGCCGCTGAGTCTGAGGGCCTGTGCCAGGCCCTCCCACCATGTGCGCTCTGCCTTGGAACCCGCTGACTGAGCCCACAGAAGTAGTGAGCTGATGTGCGCCTCTCCTCCCTCGGGCTGTGGGTGTCAGATATTTTGTTTCCATGACGGGACAGTGGCCAATCCAGTGACCTCCCCAGCCAAAGACAAAGGCAGCAGAGCAAGGGGCTTGGGACAGGTGGGCCAAGTGCAGCCGGGTTGCACACAGCTGAAAGGAGGCAGAGAGCCAGTGGCAGGGACCTGGCCCTGGAAGCAGGAGCCAAGAGCCAAGGACGCAGGGACCTCTGCCAGCAGGAAGAGGCAATGAAGGGCCTCTCCTGGGGCCTGCGGGAGAACTGGGCCTGGAGACCCTGTCCTTCAGCCCAGGGGGAGCACGCAGCACACCTGCCCTTGGGACTGCAGGTGTTTGCTGAAGCAGCCACAGGACCTTTGCCCAGACTGCACACCGCACCAGGCTCCAGGCCTTGCCCCAGAGTGAGGTTTGTCTAGCATGGTCTGCACACACCCTGGGGGGCGAGTGAGTAAATCAACGGAGTCAGGAGCAGGATGGGGCTGGGGCTGGGTCACAAGGTGCAGCGACCCTCATGGGACCCAGATGGCAAACTATCAAACATGTGATGTATGGGCAGCGCCAACCAAGGTGCTGGCAAAGGGGGCGGGTCCCACCTCGAGAGGCGGGCACCTTCACTGCAGGACTGGCACTCGGGAGGAGATTGTTAAAGCCACCTCCGCCTAGACAAGAAAGACGGGCATGTGAGTTTGTTCTAAGATGCCAAGGGGAAGCTGGAGAAAGACGGAAATCACAGAAAATCGGAGCTGTGGAGAGCAGGGGTCTGAAAGCGCAGACGATGGAAGTGACCCCAGGTCTTTCCCAAGTGACCTGATGGCCCGATGGCCTGGGCCGCCAGTCCGGATGTAGCACAGCCCAGTGGAGTGGAGTGATGCCTTGGTGGGCAGGGGCAGGCCCCAGGGTGCCCTGCTGTGCTGCCCACACTGAGGGCTCCCTCAGGTTCTCAGGCAAGAGGGGAGTTAGGGTTCAGACGGAAGCGATCGTGCTGCCCCAGAGGGGAGAGGACCCTGTGTCTGGCAGGCCCGGTGCTGTCACAGCATCTCTCCAGGGAGAGCCAGCTCTGCCCTGGCTGGCAGCTTGGCTCAGGAACACTGTGCTCCTTCGGGGGCCACCTGTGCCCTTGGGGGGCTGAGCTGAGCAGGCGAGGCTGGGGTGCCAGGACTGCGCCACCTCTCGGGCCCACCTGGGACTTGGGGTTCAGCTCTGAGCTGCTGGAATGTCCAGGATCCTGGGGGACTTGGCACCTCCTCCCAGTCAGCTGCCACCCCTGCCCCTGGACTGTGACAGGCCTTCTCCTCTGGAACTCGCCCTGCCCTGCCTGGCACACTGGTGCAGTGTCCCTCGGCCAGGGCTGGGCCCCCTGTGCACCCACACCCGGGGGATGGACTGTGGGACAGGGTCAGGGGAGCTTCCAAGCGGGGACTGGGTGTCTCCCCCACCACAGGGGTGCGAGCCTGCCAGAGCCAGCTGGGAGTCTCTGAAACAGATCTCCAGGCCTGGCTGGCTGTCAGTCGCCCCCAACGCATCCTCCCAGGCTGGGGGATGCTGAGGCAGACGGTCCCGAGAGTGCTTGAGAGTGCTTGGGGACTGGCCCAGGCCTCCACAGCCCGATGTGCATGCATGGGGTTTCGCCCAAAGCCACAGGGCCTGGTTATGGCTCTGAGTCCACCAGGGCTCCTCTAGGAGTCTGGGGTGTCAGTGAGTCAAGCACAGTGGGCTGTCCCTCCCAACTCCTTCTTTCTCAGTGAGGCCTAGTGCAGAGCTGAGGCCAGGGATGTAGCTCAGTGGTTATGCTGCCTGCCTTGCAAGCACAAGGACCCAAGTTTGATCCCCGGTACCAAAACAAAAAACAAAAAAAGGGGAATGGTCAGAGCTGATGCACAGGCAGTGCCAGGCTGGCCCGAGGGCCGGTGGGCCACTTCCGTAAGCTGCGGTCCCAAGAGTCCGGCTCTCAGAGGGGTCTGTGGGGCTGGCAGGTGCAGAGCAGACCCCTCTGAGCTCACGGTGTGCTCAGCCCCCAGAGGCACAGGCGATACCTGCTCAGCATGGGGGTCCCAGGGTGGGGAGCCCACATTGAGGGCATGGTGGGGCGGGGGTGACAGGGCAGGGCCCTTGTGCACCTGAGTGTGGCCGTCACTGCACAGGGGCCTGGCTGGGGCAGCGATGCAGACGGGGTTTGGGGAGCACCGGTTCTGGCGGGATCGAATCGAGTCCGGGCAGTGGGCAGTGTGGGGCGTGTAGAGGGCTCCGAGAGGGGGGATGGGGTGTGTCCCGTTCCCCGGGATGTGGAAGAACTCCAAGGGGAAGCCAGGGTAGACTCTTGCACTGGGGAAGGGGCAAGGATCCCATCTCCAGCGGCCCAGGCCCCGTCCAGGTGCTGGGAAGCACAGGGCAGGGTGGCACTGCAGGGTGTGGACACTGGCACCCCAGGGGTGGGCGAGTGGCGCTGAGCACTGGGCCTGCACTCTTGAGACTTCCCACTGAGCACCTCCTGCCCCACTGTGCAGTGTGAACACGAGGGCGGGCGGGCGGCGGGTGCCTCGGGTCCCCAACGCCTCTTCCGCTGGCCCTTGTAGTCACCACAGATGCAGAGCAGATGACTTTCAGGACCCTCCCCATCCTCCCCTGGGCACAAACCCAGCCTGCCTACGGCCTTGGTCAGGGGCCGTGGACGTCGATTATGACCGGTATTCTTCATCTTTAGTGCTCATACGCGCATTCTGGGCCTGGCACCGAGCGCTCTACCACTGAGCTCCATCTCCAGCCCTTTTTTATTTTTAGATGGGGTCTCACTACACTGCCCAGGCTGGTCTTGAACTTCGAATCCTACCTTACCCTCCCTCAAGGTTGGGATTACAGGTGTTATCACCGCACTCGGCTGACCGTCTATTCTGTGCAAACCCAGGCCTGCAGCCAGGCTCCAGCCCCACGCCAGCCTCGGGTGGCAGAGAGGCGTCCAGCCTTTTCCGGGGTCGGCTGCACTGGAGACGGAGGCGAGCCTGGCAGAGTGGGAGGGGTGCGCGTCCTGGACAGGAAGGGCGCGCGGTCGCCCCCGCGGTGGCCTGGGTCGCACCGACCCCGAGTCCCAGGCCGCCTGTCACTTCACGTGCTCGGCGGCGTGCGAGGAGCAGTAGTACTTCTTGTGAGCGATGAAGGTGGACAGGCTGCTGAACCGGATGTTGCACAAGCGGCAGTAGCGGTGGCCACCGGGCGTGGGAGGCGCGGGCGGGCCCTTACCGGGGGTGGGGGCGCCCGGGTCGGCGGGGGCCTCGGCGGGCGCGGGCGGCGGGGACGGGGAGCGCGGCGGGGGGCTGTCCCGCAGGCCGTGTGCCCGGCGTAGGTGCTCCCCCAGGTCGCCGCGCGCACGCCCATTGGCCGGGCAGTAGGGGCACACGGCGGCCGGGCGCAGTGGCGCGGCGGGGCACGCGTACTGCTTGTGAGCCAGGTAGGCCTCGAGGCTGTGGAAGCTCACGCGGCAGGCCGTGCACTCGTGGTAGTCGGCCAGCGCGGGCAGCGCGGCGGGCGCGTCGTGGGGCTGTCGGCGCGGCCGCTTGCTCAGGTCGATGGGGCCGTCGGCGGCGGCCGGCGCGGGCGAGCGCGCGGGGGCGGGACCGGCGCTCCCATTTCCGCCTCCGGGTCCGGGGGAGCCGGGGGGCTCGGGCGCGGGGCCAGCCGCTGGGGGGCCATGGCCAGGCGGTGCGGGGGCGGAGCCGGGCGCGTGCAGCTCGTACAGCTTGCGGCGCCGGCGCGTGCGCACAGGCGGCGTGGTCAGCGTGGGCGCCGCGGACCCTGGAGCGGGAGCGGGAGCGGGTGGCCTGCGCGGCGGAGGGTCGTGGCGCGAGGCGCAGTAGTAGCGCTTGTGCACCGTGTAGGTCTCGTGGCGGCTGAAGCGGATGTTGCAGGCCTCGCACAGTGTACGGCTGGGGTCGTCCTCCGCGTCGTCCACTGAGCTGCCCGGGCTCTGGCTGCCCTCGCTGCCCCGGCCGGGCCCATCGGCCTCGGGCGTGGCTGCGCCGCCCGCCTCGTCCTCACGCGCCCCGGGCGCCGGCGGCGATCGCGGCGCATCGGGTTCTGCAGGCGCGCCGCCCGGTGGCGCCTTGGGCCTGCGCGCGGCGGGCGCGTCTTCGGGCGGGCGCCGGCCGGAGCAGTAGAGGCGCTTGTGCACGTAGAAGTTGTTGACGTTGTTGAAGGTGATCTCGCACTCGAAGCACGTGGCACCCTTGGTCCCCGCCAGCAGCGCGGCCGGCGCCCCCGCGCCCTGCTGCAGCCGGCTGTGCACCAGCTCCGACATCTTGGCCAGGATCTCCGAGGCCTGGGGCGCCGCGGGGCCGGGGGCGGCGCCCGCGTCTGGCGCGAACACGAGCTGCGGCAGGAAAAGCGCGCCGGCCAAACCCAGCTCTCCGGGTGCGGGGCTGGCGCCAGGCGTGGGACTGGGCATCTCGGCCTTCACGCGGGCCGCACCGGGGCTGTGGGGCGACGGCGTCCGCGACGGGGCCCGGGGTGCAGGCTCTGCCTGGCCTGGCACGCGCGCTGCCTCCGACTCCTCGGCCGCCTCCACCTTGACGTTCTTGGGGATCGCGGGGGTCTCGCCGCCGCTCCCATTCTGGGCCTCTCCGTTGGTGGCCTCAACCAGGGTCTTGTCCAGGCCTGGTGATGGGATGGGTGCCAGGCCTAGGTCCGCGGAGGCCAGGGGACCATGCAGGCCTGCGTGCTTCTGGAGGCTGGCGAGGGCGTCTGCGGGAAGATCACAGGGGCACTTCAGGCCTGGCACCTGGGGACAGCCTGTCCTCGCCTACCCCGGAGCCCGGGCACCCTGTGGCTGCTCACCTGCAGGCAGCTTGGCAGCTGGGTGTGCTGCACCTGGCGAGTATATCTCCCCCTTGGAGCCGGGCTGGCAGACCATGTGGCTGGTCACCAGGTGGCTATAGAGGATGTCCCGAGTGGTGGAGATGAAGCCACAGCTGTGACAGACACCTGGAGGCCATGTGTGCTGGTCAGGGCCCTGGGGCCGAGGTGCACGTGCTCCCCCACCCGCACAGCCCACCTACCGCTGAGCGTGTCTGTGTGCACCTTGAGGTGGCGTTCGCAGTTGGCCTTGGTGGTGAAGGCCGACAGGCAGATGAGGCATACAAAGGGCCGCTCTCCTGGAACACAGGGACATGTGGCTTGGGCCCACCTGGCCCCCAGCCCCAGGGACCAGCAGGACAGGCACTGCACCCGGGGCCTCAACTAGCCAGGAGGGCGCTCCGCCCTTGCCTTGTTCGTCCCCGGACCCTGTGTGGGGGCCCATGGCTGTGGTGGGAGGTGCGCTATGGCCCCCCTGTCTGCGGCGGGTGTGGTGCCGTGGAGAGGACAAGGTGGCCAGGACAGGCGTGCAGCTCACCGCTGTGGCTGCGCATGTGGATCTCCAGGGAGCTGGCGCTGGGGCAGCTCTTACGGCACTGTGGGAAGGGGCAGATCCGCTCGTTGGGGTATGGCTCCTTAGGCTTGTCCTCTGTGGCTGCCGCGGCTGGGGAGCTGGCACCCTGGCGGCTGGCGCAGTAGTAGAGGAGGTGGGCTTGCAGGTTGCGCTCGTTGCGGTACCAGATGCCACAGTCCTTGCACGGGAAGACGTCCTCTGTGGGGGTGGGGGGGCAGTGGTCTCTGCAGAGAGGGCCTGGCTGGATGGGTCCTGGGAGCTGGGCCCATCCTCCTGTGGTTTCTCCTGACTGAGCTTTGGTAACCTTGACCCGCTTTGTGAGGGTTTTTAGGACCCACTCACCTCCTGGTGGCCCCATTCTGCCTTGGCCCCTCAGGAGACGCCGTGGCTCAGGTGGCCAGAGAGGGAGAGTAGACGTGTGTGGTGGACCCTGAGTGTGACGGGTGAGTATGTGGGTGAGCAGTGTGAACCCGGGGAGCCTCGGGACAGGACAGGAGCAGCTGCTGCATAGGGAGTCCTCGTGCGAGTCCTGGAGGCCAGGTGCTGCCACAGTTAGGAGTGGCCCCTGCCGCACTTCTGCCTGTGCATCCGATGGCACCATGAATGGCCAGGTTGGCTCATTTGACAAATTTACCCCAAACACTGCTTCTAACTTTCAGTCTACAGGGGTTTGGACTGCCTGGGGCTTTAGGGCTGTGAGGATTTCTCTGGTGTGTGTTCTGTGTCTACAGCAGGATTTTTGTTTTCTGTGTGACAGTCTCACATTATAGTTCAGGCTGGCCTTGAACTCAAGGCAATCCTGCTTCAGCCTCCCAATACAGCAGGACTTTAAGGGGTGTTCTGACTGCCTCCACCCCAGCCCCTGCCCCATCTGCCGGCAGGCCTTGGCAGGGAGGCTGTGACTCGGGTGGTACCAGGGGCCTGGGTTCCCTCTCTGGCTGTCAGGCCAGTTCCCATAGAGACCAGGGGCCCAGGTTCCGCCTGGGCAGTGAGGGTGTGTCCTGAGCCTCCGCTCCACAGCAGCAGCCTAGGTCCCCCCTCCGCTGTCCCCTGCAGGTGCCAGCACCTCTCCCGCCCCTTCTGAATGAAGCCCTGTCTGGGAGGTGGCCACTGTGTGTCTGTCCGATGGACATTGCTGCTTGGGATGAGGCGTCACCCAACGCAGAAACCTGAGACCCCAGGGGGCTGCGCTGGGCTCCCTGGGGTGGACAGGCGGGTGACTGTGGGACCTTCCCTAACCTCTGTCCTCGCCAGGGCCCTGGCTTCTGTTGGCTGTGCTCACCTCCCATCTCCCAAACCTTGGTGCTCATCCCCAGGGCAGAGACCGAGCAGGGGCCTCCTGCCATCCTCCTGCCATCTGCTGCAGACCCCGCCCACGACCCGCACCCTCAGGTCACGCCGGTGGCACCAGCCCATTGTACCACTCACAGGAGGTGTTGAGTGAGTGTGTGTGTGTGTGTGTGTGTGTGTGTGTGAGACAAGGGAGTCTTGTTCTCACAGCCCCTCCGCCTCAGGGAGGAGACAGTCCAGGCCACAGCCTGGGGTCTGTCATGAGCTGGGCTCTGGGAGCCTCCCGTCCCTGTACCTGGGCTCGGCTCCCACTGGGGCCTCAGAGCAGACACAGCCCCCCGCCGCCTTCCCCCTTGTGCTGTCTATGGCCTGCCTGGCCCCTGCCCTCTTGGGGACGAGCTCTCCTGCTGGGTGTCTCTGCCACAGCTGTGTGCTGTTTCTCCCCCGGTGGCCTACGGGGGGCGCAATGCATCCTTTTACTTGGGGCTCGGGTACATGCTGAGCACCCTGACCTTTTGTCGGTCGAGCCCTCCCGGGGCTGTGGCCACTACTCACTGTTGATGACTGCTGTGGCGAGGATGGACGCCATGCCGGCCTGCTGGGGCAGCAGCTGGATGTCAGGGGGCACTGGGGCAGGGTTCTCGGGCTCTGCTGGTTCCTCCTTCGTGGGATGGCTGGGGGTGCCCCGGGGCTTGGCCGTCAGGAGTGCACACAGGGCCTCGCCCGCGGGCACCGGCCTGGTGACCCTGCACCAGAGGCTGCCATCTGGCGGGCACAGGCACGAGCTGGGATGGTGGCCCTGCACCTCTGCCCTCCCTCTGGGTCCCATCTAGTCCTGGACCCTCTGCACTGCCCAGGAGAGCAGGCCCAGGGCCAGCAGGGAGCAGCTGGCCAGTTCCTGCCGTGTGGAGCCCTGCCCATGTGTGAGGCTGTGGGGACCCCAGGTGGGGTGGGGTGCTCATGCCTGCCACCTCTCCTGGTTTCCTGTACCCTGTTTCAGTGAGCTGGGCCTGGCTATTCCCAGTGGCCTCTAGGGGGCACCCTAAGGCAGCAAATCCCGGACAGCTGGTCTGCCTTCAGCCCAGGCACCCCTGTGCTGGGGCTGCGGCTTCGCAGACAGGTGGATCCTGTCAGAGCCCTGGGCCTGAGGGAGGGAGCACCACGTCCCCAATGCTGCCTGGCCCTGCCAAGAGCCAGCCACCCTCATTAGCACCCCCCCTGAGAGGCCTCGTCTTTCCGAGGTGGGCCTGTGGGACGGATTGGCTGGGCAGTGCCAGTGGCCCATGTCCCCAGGGGCGGGAGCCCACACTGACCACCACCCACCAACACCCTGGGCCTGAGTCCCGGGTGCATGGCCCCCCGGAGCTGGAGTGCCACCACCTGCTCTCTGGGTCCTCAGTGCACCCTTCACTGGGGAGGAGGGGTAGGGTGCTCTCTGCCCAGCAGGTGGGGAAACTGAGGCACACAGGTACAATGCAGGCTTGGGCCTGACGGAGTTGAGGGCTCTGCTGTCCTGATGTGAGTGCTGCCTCTGCTCCCACTGGGCAGTGCTTGGGCTTTCTGGACAGGAAGAGCAGTGGGGACCCCTTTCCTCTCCCCAGTCCTGGGAGGGGGAGGTGTAGGGGAGCAGGTGGGGTGGGCACTGGGGCACAGCCCCTCCCCTGCTTCACTCCACCCCCTAGTGGAGAAGTGGGCCCCAGCTGGCCTGGGCACTGCCCCGTGTCCCTTAGCTGGGAAGGACACTGCTGATGGACATGGCCGGTGGCCAGTCCTGAGCCAGTCAGCAACCCGCTGGGCCTCGGCCTGTGCACAGGCCCCGAGAGAGGGCACTGCTGGGGGGGGGACTGTGGTGTCCCCAGCTGAGCCCTGTCATGGACAGAGGTGTTGGCCTTGGAGAGCAGCTCCTGGGGACCCCCCAACCCCAAAGAGCATGATTTCCCTTTAAGGCCACCAGGCAGGGCTGGTGACCCCCGCCTTCCGGAAGGCTGGGATAGGGAAGCGCCATATGATACCAACCCTTCCTGTAGATCTCCGAGTTGGCGTCAGCCTCGGTCAGGGCCTGGGGCAGCGTCCTCAGCCAGCAGGCTGCATCTGTGAGCAGCAGGGTCAGGGCCGGGCCCTGGGGACGGTGGGGGACAGGGTGGTCAGCAGTGGGCGGCAGGAGCAGGCTCCTTAGCCAGGCACAGTACCGTACCGGGCCTGACAGCCAGGGGCACTGTGGCCCTTATCTGGGCAGCTTCCGTGTGGGCACTGGGTTCTCATGAAAGCCACGGCCCTCAGGAGCCACACAGCACAGCTGGAGCCACGCCAGATCTGCGTCCCCTCCACACTGACCCTGCATCCAAGATTGGCTGTGCTGGCGGCAGATGAGCTCTGTGGACTCAGCCCAGAGCACAGAGCCACGGCAGGCCCGGCCCGGCCCATCCCCGCCCTTCACCGCGACCAGTGGCACAGTGTTGCGCCGGCCCTGTGCCCGCCAGCCTCGCTGCCTCAGAAAGCAGGCAGTGCCCCCCGTCTCACAGCTGAGGAAACGGAGGCACCAGGTTGGGAGGCAGCGACCCTGAGCCCAGGCGCATGTCCCCCACAGCTTAGTCTCCACCTGGTGGGAAGAGCACTCCGGGCTCAGCTCTGGGGCTGCCTCACTTCCTGGGCCTGAGTCTGGCCCCCCACCCTGGGCACAGGAAGTGCACATGGACCCAACCCCAGTGGGTGGGGGCCGGCCAGGGACCCCCATCCCCTCCTGTAGGCAGAGCCCTGCTCCGACCCTGTTCTGGGTTCGATCCTCTGGGGGCTTCCTGACCTCAGCCAGCAGGGTGCCACGATGCTTGGGATTTTTCTGTAAGCCTGCTCACTTTTTGTTTCCTTCAAGTAGATGCTTTTTAATCAGAAGCCTGGTGCACTGTGACCTTTAACTGATACCCACTGTCACCTGCTGCACCTGGGAAGGCCACCACTCCTGTGCCTGGCCCATGACCCCAGGATGCGTGTGGCAGTTGCCCCAGAGCTGAGGGTCTCCTTGCGACCCCTCCACATGACCACAAGATGGGACCCAAGATAAGGCCTGTGGTGGGGGCCAGCCAAATGGCAAGGTCGGAGCAGCTGGCTGGTGCCGTCTGCGTCACCTGCCTGCTGCCATGTGGCTTGGTCATGGGGTGGGGAGTGGAGCTAAGCCAGCCCTCTGCCAACAAGGGAAGCCCCTTCCACACAGCTACAGGAGGAAGAGGGGACCATATCCCTGGTGGCTCTGGACTGTCCTCAGCTGTCAGGGATCTTGGGCAGGTCACTGCCATGTCTACAACTGCTTCCTCCCAGGATTTGGGGAGCCAGGAGTCCAGGGTAGTGCTAAGTGTCCCCTCCTGGCCAGCCACTGCTTTTACTTCCCCTCAGCCAGCAGGACCAAGTGGCCAGGGCTGGGCCCTGGGGTGGGGTGGGCTGTCCATCTGGGGTGGCCACCATGTTCAAGGCCACCTGAGGGCATGCATTCCACTTAATAGACACCTGGGGATCCCAGGGTGCAGGGCAGGGTGGGAGCTGGCAGGTGGGGGACCTGCATGGGCTGGCCCTGGGGGCAATGTGGTAGGCAGGGCCTGGCCCCTGGCTGGGGACCCAGAGCTCCCACCCCAGCTGCCCCTGACCTGGGGAGGTGGCTCTGAGAGGCGGCTGGGCTTGGGCCTCCCTGCCTCGGCCTTCTGAGTTGCTAATGAATATTAATGAGCAGAGGAGGGTGAGAAAATTAATCTGCCTGATCCTTCGATGGGTGCCACGGTAACGATATGAAATCTAATTATTCGTCCCAATATTCCTAAACCCTCAACCCGAGACTGACAGCCCCTGCTCGGCTTAGTGCTTATCGGTCTCGGAAGCAGCGTGTTTGCCGCGTGATAAAGCACACTCAAGACTGCTGACGCTGCACAACCATCCTCCAGGGGATGGTGGGCCCCGCGCAGGGAGGCCAGGCCTGCCCGGCACATCCCAAGTCTGCAGCTGGTGCTGCAGGGAGGAGGGAGGGCACTGAGGAGGTCCGGCCATCAGCCAGCACCCTACGTGGGCCAGAGAAGGCTGGAGGGGCGAGATCGCCAGGCCTGCTGCTGACTGTTCCCACTCTCACCGTTTCTGCCTCACTTCCAAACCACCCTGGGGAAAGAGCTCTCTTAGTGCTAAAGCCATAGCTGAGGTGGGTGCTCTGAGCCTGCCCTGCAGGGGCCCTGCATGCAGCCTTGGCCAGGCCTCTGGCCCAGACAGTGAGGCAGAGGCCGGGCCGCCTCTGCCCCTCCCCGGGTCACCTGGCCAGGGTCAGGGTCAGGCCCTGGCACCCACCCTGCGCCCTGCCCCTCGGAGTCCTTGTCCCTCCCAGCCCAGGATGCCAGGCGGCCACTTTAAATTCTCCCATGGGGCCGCCATTGTTCCCATTTCCCCCAACAAAGAGGTCAGTGTCTCGCCTCTGCGGCCGATAACCATCAGAAACCCTATCTGCACTGCATCCGCTGTGCTGGCTTCTCCAAGGCTGCTCCCAAACCTCTCTGTGCACCCTGGCGGGGCACAAGCAGGGGTGGTGGCTGTTGGGGGCCCCTGGCAAGGGGACAGGTGGCTCTGGAAGCCCGGAGTAGCTGCTGCAGTACAGTCAGCAGCGGGTGCACGGAGGGGTGGGCTGCAGCCTGGTGCCCAGGGCAGCTCGGCTCTCCTCAGCCCAGAGGCCTCGACAGCCTGCAAGGTCACACAGAGGCCTTGGCCCAGGTGCGTGAGCTTTGCACAGCCTCTGAGCCTTTCAGTCACACATCGTCCGCCAACACAGTCCCTGAGGGCCAGCTGTGGCCAAGGGCTAGGGGCACGGCCCACCTTGGCGGTGTTTCTAAGCTCTTGTGCTGGTGAGTGGCCAGGTGCTGTCCTGGGCCCTGGAGGGAAGCCCACAGGCATGGCCCTCACCTGTGCCCCTCCGTGCCAGGCGCGGCCCTTTATGTCGGGATGGCCCTTTCACAGGGAGGGTACCCTGGCCCTTTGCTTGGGTCTCTGAGCTCCTGCCATGTTCCTACTGCCTCAGGGAGAAGAGTGCCCAGAACTCTGGAGCTCCTCCTGTCTCCTCTCGAGGGCTGGGGCAGTCACCCTAAAGCCAGTTAGCTGTGTCACCAGCAGAGTAGGGTGGGCAGACGGAGAGAGTAGCACAGCCGCTGTGCAGATGCCAGGGAGCTCCAGGGCCACCGAGGCCCAGAGAGGACTTCCTGGGTCCCAGCCTGCCCTGCTCATAGCGTGGTCTCAGATGTGGCCACTGGGCAGCAAGGGAATGAAGTCACATGTGAGGTGCCAGGTGGATGGGCTCAGGGGCCCCAGTGACAGGAGTAGCTGGCAGGCTCCCACTGTCTGGTGGCTGCTGAGGCTGATGGCAGAGGGCCACAGAAAGCACTGCCACATGGTCCGCTCGGGGTCCTGCAAAGGCCAGGTGGAGTGCGACAGGACCATGGGACTGCGCTGCTGTCCACTCCCAGCACTTCACGGCCCAGGTGCACCGGGAGCACCAGGTCCTCTGGCGGGAAGAGGATGGGCTCCCACACGGGAAGGAAGCAACACAGACGCTGGGCCGGATGTCTGGGAAGTCACCGGAGGTGGACACAGCTGGGGCAGCTGGGAGAGCCCTGCGCCATCCCCTGTCCCTTTCAAGAGGGGCCTGACTCAGCTGCCCAGCCCTGCTGCGAGGCTCTGGCCAGTGAGAGCTCTGCCATGCGAGTGACCCCTGTGCCATCCTCCAGGCTCCCTGCGCCCAGGCCGTGTGGGCTGCCCCACAACCATCCCTGAGCCAGCAAAGGCTGCCACCCCGCTTGGTTGCCATAAGCTCTCCCCTGGTCCCACAGATACCGTGGTGGACTAGGAGTAGAGTCTGTGCGGGACAAGTGGACAGGCAGGTGGACAGGGGCAATGTGTGCCATGGCAGGGTGAAAGAGCTGGCTCATCTGCTCACCCACCTAACACTCCTCACCCATCCACCCATGCACCACCTGCACATGCAATGTGTCCACACACCCATCCACCCACCCACCCACCCGGCCACCATCTGTCTAACTTGCTACCCACCTGCTCACTTGTCTGTCCGTCACCATCGACCATCATCCACTTGTCCTGTGCATCTCCCCACCCATCCACTGTCACCCATATCGATGTGCTCACCCACCCAGCATGCAGTTCCCCCTGGAGATGTGAGCTCTGGGGTTGGCTGGGCCCTGAAGGGTCTTCCCCAGTGCCAGGTTCGAAGCAGTGGAGCCCACAGCTGGATCAGAGAAGAGTCAGCAAGCGGTGCTGGACTAAGATTCTGACTCCCCAGGGCTCTGTGCCCTCAGGCTCCCTCCTGGCAGTCATTCCTGGGGGCCAGTGTATGAGGACTGCATGGGCAGCCCCGTCCCCACTCACCCTGTCAGCCTGGAAAGGACAGGGAGAGGGTGGCCCCACGGGGTCTCCCGCCCTCCACAGGGAGAAGGCAGGGTGCCTGGCCTGGCGGCATGTCTTCCTCAGTCGGGGGCTGGGGGAGAGCTGGGGCTCATCAGCCGAGCTGATAAGGCACCACTGAGACGCTAGGAAAAATATTTAGACAATAAAGGAAGTATCGGGAAGGCGCGTATCTTTCCGAGATCAATCATCGGTGTGGTGTCTGGACAGTTGGCGCCGAGGCAGAGATAGGGCCTGGGGAGATAAGGGTTAATCAAGGGTGTCATTCTCACGAGATAGCGGCAGCGGGCGGGAGGGGTGCTTCCGGGCAGGGCTCACGGCACACGGGCCTGTCAGGCACAGGGAGGTCTTGGCCCTGCGTCGTCTCCCAGCTGACCTGTGCCCAGGCCAGGGAAGGGCAGCCCTGGCGCCTGCTCCAGGAATCGCCAGCCCAGCCTGCCCAGGTTTGACCCTGATGCCTCGGCCAGGCCCTGCATCTCTCAGAGCCTCTGTAAGTGGGTGTGGCTGTGTGGGACACAGTCCTGCCTGTTCAGGTCCTGGTTGGCAGCCCCCAGGAGCAGGACAGGCAGGAACGAGCACACTGACCCTCCGCTCTCGGCCACTGCTGCCCCTGCCAGTCACCACAGAGGGTTTACCTGATGCTCTGAGAGTTCGGACGGGACTGGGGTCTACCCACCCTCTGCTGCCTCCTTCCAACGGGCTGATGCCCCTCAGCATCTAGTGCCCCAGCGCCCAGGAGAGCCACCTGCCCCACCTCACACCTTGGGGCCGGGGAGCTCACTGCCTGCAGAGCCAGCCTGGACTCTGTGCTCTCTGAGGTGCTAAGGCTGCACTGCTGGCCCAGGAAAGGGTCTCCTTCCTGCAGCACCATGCCAGTCGGTGCTGACCTTCGCCTGCCCGGCTGCCCTGCTCTGTAAACGAGCTCCCGGCTCTGCCATTCTCCTCCCAGCTCCGTGTCCTGCTGCAGGTCACAAAGGCCCAGACTGGGCAGGTGCTGGCCTGGGACACAGTGAGGCAGTTGCCTGCAAACAGGAGCCCCGGGGCCTGGCCCCACCTGCTGCCTCCCAGTGGAAAGGCTGCATGGGCAGCCCAGGGGCCTCAGTGGGCTGCATATCTGTGTCCCGGGAGGCATCTACACTGAAGGCCTCGCCCGCAGCAGAGACTAGCTCCTCATGGGTGGGTGCAGGGCATGCTGGGAGCTCAGGGTCCTGGGGTCTGCATCTGGGGTCCCTCTTGCTGCTCCCCACCAGCCCCTCAGGCCCTGCTTCGGCCAGAAACAGGGCCCTAACTTCAGGCCAGGACTGGGTAGAGCTGCCAGCACAGCGTCTGGCCCCCAGGTGGACGAGCACCACCACAGGCATAGCCCCGCCCTCACTCGAGGAGGGCACTGAGACCCTCAGGACCAAGAAACCAGCACTTTGTGGCCCTGGCCAGCCAGATGGATAGCCTGGACCAAGCCACGCCTGAATGCCACCTCAGGAAATTAGAAAGTACCAAGCCACGGCCACACCTGGACTTGCAGGGACTGACCTGGGTGCCGCTTGGCCCCAAATGAGCACGAGGCCCAGGATGTGCCTCTCAGGTACCGTGTGCAAGCGCCCCCTGCTTCCGTGTGCCCGCCGTCCTTGCTGGCACTGACACCTTCCTCAGCCTCAGAAGGGCCCACAGGACAGCAGTGGGTCGCACTCGGCCTCAGGTACAGCTGTGTGAGCTGCCAGTCCAGCCACGGGGTCCTGCCCACCCAGCCCCACCACCCCCTGGTCTGTGAGGTGCAGCTCCTCCCATTTGCTCCCTCCTGAGCGCCCTGCCTGCTTCCCCCACTTCCACTCAGAACTGAGGCTAAACCTTCCCTCCTGGAGCCCCACAGGCAGGGAACCTCAGCCCTTGGTCCCAGTCCTGAGGCCCAAGTGCTAGGCTGGCCCCAGCCCTGAGTGCTGGCAGCTACCAGGGTCCTTACCGGTTCTGCCTGCCCAGGGGATGGTGCTCTGGTCTGGATGCTCCCACGGAACGGGCCCCAGCACAGGCCCTTGGCGAGGCTGAGTCGGGCCTGCACGCACCTCTGTCCATCCCGAAGCTCCAGCTCCAGCTCCTCTGTGGGGAGACAGCAGGTGAGGCGCGTTTGGCTGGGGGACCCCGCCGCCTTCCACAAGGTGAGCCCTGCTGTGGCACTGTGGCCCCTGGCCCCCAGGAGTGAGGCATCTGGGGGCAGAGGGAGGGCCTGTATCCCAGCCCGGGCACATGTGTGGCTCCGGGACCAGGCCAGCCTCGCGGGAGCCCTGGGCCACGGGATCTTGGAACCCGGACAGTGGGCTGAGCAATGCCCCAGCAATGCGCCCCAATGTGGGGTGTGGAGGTGTGGCCTGTGGACACAGATCTTTGAAATGCAGTCACCTAAGGGATCAGAGCTGGGCTCGTCCTGCATTAGCAGGCGGCCCTAAGTCCAGGGACAAGTGACTTCATTAGAGGGAGAGAAGCTGGGAGAAGCTGGTGACAGGGCTGGAGCGAGGGGGACGTGTAGCCTGGGGCTCCCCCTCGGCTAATTCGAGGTCAGCTGGCAGAGCTCACACCCTCACTCCTCCGGCCCCGCCCCAGGGTGGAGCCTCGAGACCACGCCCGGGGGTGGGGCCTCTCGCCTTGCCCCAGCCAGGGCTCCGGCCCACGGAGGTCTCACGTGGCCTGCTCGGTCGCCTGGCCGGAGCTCTGCGGTGGCCCTACTTCCTGGAGCCCCACCGGGCATGCTATGGCCTTAATGGGCGCGATGATCAGATAAGCGGCTGCCTAATGGCAGAGATAACGTGTAAATACGCCAGGAGGCCTTCGAGACGTTCTAACTGGGTCTTTGTCTTCCCCGGGACAGATAAGGTGGCAGCGGACCAGGACGGTGAGGCAGGAGGCCCCACGCCCCTTCGCCAGCCTGGACCAGGCAAGCCTGCAGGTTCTGCCCCTCCCGCCGCCACGGCTGCCCTTGGTGGCTCACCCAGGACACCCAGCCACCCACGGCTGTGGCTAGCAGGGTGGCCTGCATCCAGTCATCAGGGGCAGGGCCCCGCCTGGCCAGCACCATGCAGCCCTGGTGGGGACACTGACACCATATAGATGGAGTCTGTCCCCTGGACAGAGGGCACACTGAGGCCCGAGGGGCCCGCAGCCAGCAGCAGGTGCCATGCTCGAAACCAGACCCAGTGCTGCCCAGCCTCTCCGTGCTGGGCGTGTCTGCATCCCTGCCCCACAGCCGGCCCTCAGGAGTCCGCAGGGGCCCACAGTGCCCACCCACCCACTTGCAGCAGGTGTGGAGCCCACCAGGCAAGGGCTGCATGCCACAGGACACTGCAAGTGGCAGCAGGACATGCACTGGCCTCTGCTGAGGCGGCTAAGGCCTGTGGCCCACCTGGACCCTGCCCCAGCTTAAGGAAGGGAGGGTCAGGAGGGGCAGTCCCAGTGCCATCGCTGCAGGCTCACATCCACCCTGTCACTCCTGTGGCTGGTCAGGTCCCTCAGATGAAGGAAGCACTAACAGGCAAACCGCCCTGTGCCTTAATTGGAGCTCATGGCCAGGCCAGCCCCCCAGATGAGGCGCTTCCCATGGGGCTCCATCCTTAGGATGTATGCCCTGCAGAGAGGGGGGGGCTGGTGGGAAGGCCAGGGTCTCTAGGGAGACAGTAGGACAGTCACCATGAAACCCACCTCCCTGCCCAGGGCCCAGGTCACCTCCAGGTGGGTGCAGGACCGTGGTGGGGGCCTGGGTAGTAGGGAGCACACCTGATCTCAGCCTCACCCCAATGCCTTGTCCTCAGCAGGCTTGGGGATGTTAGCACCCGTCTGGTCAAATACCCTAAGGACTGATCTGAAAATATGCTGTGTTTAAGTAAGAAAATGTATCACAGTGAAAGACACATTGCTGTGAATCTCCCTCAGAATCTTCCCCCTTGCTTTGAAAACACTTATTCCATGGTTCTAGAAGTACTCTTTCATGAACGTCTTTACAAAATGTGATTAAAAAGGGCCGGGGATTTAGCTCAGTGGTTCCAATGCCTGCCTCGCAAGTGGAAGGACCCGAGTTTGATTCCCAGTACCCCCCCAAAAAATGCGATTAAAAAAATACAGTGAACGCTGCTGCCCAGTGCCATCCAATGGAGAGGAAGACTCCTAAAACCTCGGCTGCATTGTCTTTATCCACCTTATTTGTGTATCTGACCCCATGGGACTCCTGGCTCTTCCCCTAAGTCAAAATGACCACGAAAGGGGAACCTGAATCCATTCAGCACATGGAGGCAGCCAGGACAGCTCAACTAGACCCTCAGGAAAGAGGACTCCAGAGCTGCTGCAGAGTCACCAGGACGATGGGATGAGTGTGCAAGGAGACAGGAAGGACTTTGAAGGGCATGGCGACCTGTCTTTTATTGCACTGTGTTTTGAAACTACACATTCATCACTGTTTTTTTTTTCCTTTGTTTCTTTCGGTACCGGGAATCGAATTTAGGGCCTTGTGCTTGCCAGGCAGGGGTGGCGCCACTGAGCTGCATCCCAGGCCCTCAGTGCTTTTTTGATCACACCCTTCCTTCCAGCTCCCACTCCTGCCCCAAAGCCTCATGTGGAGCAAATAGGAACAAGCAGGGGTCGGAGCCCAGGAGCACCCAGCAGAGCACTGCCCAGCAGGAAGCGGAGCTGCACCAGGAAGTGGGGTGGGAGAGGCCGCCCACCCCTGGCACTAGGGTACCTCGTGGGGCTCCAGGCACAGCTGAGAAGGCGTGGAAGTGCAAGGGAAGGACAGGGACAGAGCCATGGGGATGCCAGGCCCCCAGACGCCTGGTGTAGGAAGCTGAGCAGTGGCTGCACAGGATGGTGACTGCCGCTCAGGCTGTGGACCCCTGGCTCAGTGCCCACCTCTGCTTGGGAAACGCAGGTGGGCACAGGCAGCTCCCACAGAGGGACGCAGGGTGGGCTTGCAGGAAGTGGCCCCAGCGCCAGCCAGGTCGTGACCACCCACTCCCTCAGCTGGACGTGGCACAGGGACTCCCATCCCAATGCCCTCCTGCCCCCTGGGTGCCGTGCCTCATACACTGGCATGACTCACAAGGATTTTTGTCCATGCACCAGGGGGAGACTGAGCTTGGAGAGGTTAAGCATCCACCCAAGGGTGTGCAGTGGGCAGGTGGGACTTGAGCAGCTGGGACCTAGGCACGCTTTCCAGTGGGGCTGTCCATGGTGCCCCGCCTACCCTGGCTCAGTTTCCCTTCTGCAGTTCCTCCCCTGCTGGCTGGCCTGGGCATCCTGGTGGATCAGGCTGGCCGAGCAGGCCCGATGCTGGCACACACTGCTCTACAGTGAGTGTGCCCTGTGCCCCCACCCCACACCTCGAGAAGCGGATGAGAAATCTGGCCCTTGCCCATTTCCTGTGTGCAATGTCCCCTCGGAGCCCCTGGGGTGGGGCAGCCCTGGGCAGAGGATGGGGTCTGGGTGCCATCAGCCTCGGTTTCCCCTGTGTGGGACTCACGGTGGTGGTGAGATCGGGCCGCTGCTCTCTCCCCGGGGCCCCTCCACTGGGGCCTGCACCGGGGTTGTCCCCCTTTACACACTGCTGCACACTGGGAAGGGGCCCAGAGAGCTCTCACACGTGGCCTGAGGTCACACAGCCTACATGCAGCTACTCAGCCCAGACCACATGGAGAGGCTGGGTGCCCTTGGCCTCAGTTTCCCCGAGCTCCTGCTGCCCCTGCTCCAGCCACCAGCCCTCTCTCAGGCAGAGTCTAGCAGCCCCCAGCCCGCCGAGCGAGCGGCAGTCTCTGTGGTTGGTGTAGCCGGTGCGGATGCCCACCCCGCCACCACAGCCTGTTAATCTGATCGCCCATCACCCCGCCTGGCCCCGCCCTGCGGCTCCCACAGGCCAGCTGGGGAGCGGCCCTATCTCGGGATCGAGCTGTTTGCCTTTGATAAAAGTCACAGAAAAGGAAAGAAAAAGGAGGAGGGAGCTGGGCTGGTGGGTTCTGGAGACTCTGGGTGTGGGTGCAGGCAGGGGGAGGCGGGCACCACGTGGGGCCTGGGCACATCTGCTCCCTGGGTCCCATGCACACAGGCAAACCCAGGTCCAGAGAGGGCAGGCGCCTCCCTTGGGACACAGCAGAGGGGGGACCAGGCTCCCTGGATCAAGCCACACCTGCACGCCAGGTCAGGATACAGAAGGGACTGCACTTGGTGCCTGTGACACTTTTCCCCAGGCCCTCGGGAGGCAGCAAGGACTTAGCAAGAAGAGTCCGGCCCTCTGTCCCCAGCACAGGACCCAGGTGAGGCTGGTGCCTCCAGTGTAGGGAGTGTCACAGGGCAGCCGGGTGCCTCCCAGCCGAGAAGGGGCAGGAAGTGGCCCTGAGAGGGCAGCAGGATCCCAGCCCAGGAGCTACAGCTCCACGGGCACAGGTATAGGGAGGGAGACCACGGACCCCACCACACCAGGCTGATTTCCACTGCGGGCTGATGGTCTGTACAGAACTGGGGATCAGGCCATGTGTGGTGGTGCATGCCCATAACCTCAGTATACTGGGAGGCTGAGGCAGGAGGATCCCAAGTTCCAGTCCACCTTGGGCAATGCTGGGGTGTGTGGCTCAATGCAAAGGCCCTGGGTTCAAATCACTAGTACTGAAAAGAAAAAAGTAAAATGAAACAAAAAATAAAAAATGGGGATCAGACTGGTTGTGGCAGTGAAAATCTGTAGTCCCAACCATTCGGGAGGTTGAGGCGGGAGGACTGCAAGTTCAAGGCCAACTTAGGCAGCTCAGTGAGACCCTGCCTCACATGCGCACGCACCCCCCACCCCCACTGAGCCCTCAAGGACACAGAAACCCCACCCCCAATAATGGGGCAGGGACACAGCTCAGTGCTGCGTGGGCCTGGTCTCCAGTACCACGCACACCGGAGTGGGCATCACTGGTGCAGCCTGATTCCGGGCTCCTGCTGGGTCCCGCCCAGGCCACGCCCCGCCCAGCGTCCTGTCTTCACTTATGCAGAGCCGGGTGTGGGCCAGGTGGCCGTGAATGAGCCGCACTCTTTCGAGGAGGAGGACGAAGGGACGTGCCCTGCTGGGAAGAGGCTGCTGGGGC